ATAACTTTTCTGCTTACCTCAATGCAGATAATTCAAAGATATATTTTTTCCGATTCTATTCATTCCTTTCAAAAGAGAAAGACCGCACCAGGGTAAGCAATGCAGGGTGGTCAGACACATAATCTAATAACAGTGTGTGAAGCCGTTACAGAAGACAGTGGGAGCACCGCCAGCTTATGTGCTGGGGCTTGGTGGCTGATTTCTATGCAGAATCCACGGGTATTTTCCAAGTATAGACAGCTTTTATTGAAATGAAAATAGAAAATGCAGGACCAGCATCCACACCAAAATTTCAATTTAGTAAGGACATGAAGCTGCCATGAAAGGAGAAGGTGGTGGGTCTTTCGGCTTTTTGGCTTGTTATAGAACACGATCCTTCCTAAAGAGGCCTTTTTTATACTTAACCTCAAAGCATGTTAGTCTTTGCAAGAGGAAGACTTAGCTGATCTTTATGTCTTATGCATTTGCTTTCTTGGCTTTTAACAATGATATTATGAGGCAGTGAGTTTGAAAAAAAATTAAAGAGTATTGGAATATCTCAATATTTTTAAAGTGTTAGAAAAAACTTAAGAATTAGTGACTATATGTCACTAATTACCTCAAATGTATGAAATTAGAACTATCATAAGGTACCCTTATGACAATTTTCCCTATTTTCATTTTTCATTCCTACCAAGCAAACTATTTGTCTAATTTTGATATCAAAGGATACTATTGTGGAGTCAATCGTTCTGCTTTTAATGGGCTGTTATCTAGAAAGCACCAGTTGTAAGATGTACTGAAGATGGGCAAGGCTGCAGAAGAAAAGTTAATAGATCAGGAATGAATGTGATTTTTCTCTTGTACATACTTGAACTCTTAGGGTTCTCTGAACTTCCATTTATGGTGAGAATACAGTTAAGATTGCCACATCTAAGATCATATCTAGCCAATGTCTTAAGACTATCAGACTACCAAAAATAAAATTTGAATGTGCTGCATATTCTTTGTTATCAATTCCTATGCTTTCTCATCTATGTCTCAGACAATTTAAATGAATCACATTTTCTGTAGGTAGAAACAAAGTAGCATTATTTCATTCTTGAAGTTGTCCAAATGAATGTAATGTTCAGCTAAAACAGAGTCCATTTTGTTTCCTTTCTTCTCTGTTCAAGATATTCCACCAAGCCATTCCTGCATGCTTTTACATGGCTGCATCTCTTACTAATGTAGAATGGTGCAAGACATGGGCTTTAGACTAAAAAACATCTGACTTTAAACCTGGCTGTGTCATTTACAACTTTGTTTCATGGCTCTTCTTAGCCAATTTCTCTTCTGGGGCCATTGAGAGTTAATGACAATAAGTATAAAGACTACATTCTGGTTTTTAAAATAATTTTTAGGGCTCTGGTGTTACACAGACATTCATTATGACTTCAAATTAATCTCTTTTTCACTTTATTACCTGACATATGTAAAGGTTACCTCACTATATATCATCTGTAAAAACAATAAAGTAGAAAAAGAGAAAAGAAAAGCTGTGATTCTCTTGGCGTCTAATAATTTCCCTTCTGAAGTTAATTCCTTCAGATATATTTGCTCACTAGCTCAAAGTAATCTCTGGAGTTAATAGAATTTTAGGAGTTCTGGAAGATACTGATTTCCTGGATTGCTGTCAGGGTAAAATGGAAGTGCTAATTTTCTATGTCAACTTGGCTAGGCTATGGTTCCTAGTTTATTAATGAAAACAGTAGTCTAGACTTTGATGTTCATGTGTTGTTTTCTTTTCAGATGTGGCTAAAATTTAACTCAGTAGACTTTGAGTAATGTAGTTTACCCTCAGTACTGAGAATTGGTCTCATCCAATCAGCTGAAGGCCTTTGAACAAACACTATCTGCAACACACAAGTCTTACCTTGCTTTCCTGTTCTGTAAATTTCAGGCTTAACTTTACTCATTAGACATTACCGAAATATCCACCTTCCTGGCCTGCCCCACAGAATTTGGACTTAATAAGTCCCACGTTTCTTAAAAAATATCAGTTTTCCACACTCTCTCTCCTTATTCATATATATAAGATTTCTTAAATTTGAATCATTGTGCTTATGTGTGTATGTCTATATATGTGTATGAATGTATATATTATCTGTCTGTCTGTCTATCTTCCTACCTACCTACCTAGCTACCTACCTACCTATCTATCTATCTATAACTTACTGGATCTCTTTTCCTGGAAAACCCTATCTAAAATAGGCATCCTCAGAAAGACTTCATACAATTGTCTCTCAGCATCCCTGAATTAAGTTTCAGGACATCCCTCCTCTTGGATATAAAACTCTGTATTTCCTTGTGTATCTTATTATACAATGGTGAAATAGTTGCATATAACATACCCACATCTTCCTATATGTATACTTGTTATACAATGTAAATGCTATGTTAATTGTTATTCTAGTGTATTATTTAAGGAACAATGGCAAGAAAATGTATATTCTCATTACAGATGTGATTTTTCCCCCAAATATATTCTAGTTGCCTGAGTCTATGAATGGAGAACAGATGACTGAGATTCCTTTGCTCTGCTCACCTTTGTTCTCTCTTTCCTGAGAGGTACGGGGCTCATTCCTGTTCATCCTTCCAAGAGTTTGTCCAACTCTGTGCCCCTTACAACACCTACAACTAGAACACTTAAAGGAAATTTAATAGCAAAAACTAGACACTATATTGGTAGTCCAATTTGACTTTTGCGTTTATCTAACTGTGTTTTCCATGAATATTATGGTTCACTTATATAAACTATTTGTTTTCTATAAGAAGAGCACAATGATGATTTTTAAATATCCTTAAATGTATGTGTGGTTAAATTGAGCAGCTTTTATTTGGTATCTAGTGTCAGAGACTTCATGTCCTTTTTGCATGTCACATGATCATACTGAGTGTATAAAATCATTCTCAATTTTCTTAGTTCCTTCAGTGAGAATACAAGGTAGAATTGAGAGTCATTACTCCTGGTCTCCAAGTGAATTAGAAAATTTGGAAAATACAGAGATTTTACTCAACTTCTTCTTTAACTCTCACAGTACAAATATATTATAATAATCATGGTAGTTCAGTGTTTTTTAAGTGCAGAAGTGTAGTTTCTTCTAAAATATACATTATATCACTTAAATGAGAAACTAAAAATGAAATTTAATGCTTATTGGTAAAGTCATTAATAAATGATCCTAAAGGTACCAGGAAAAGGAAAAAAAGGCAAGATGATCTATTTAATCAATCAATAATAGCATGAATTATCATCACATGATAAAATCAGTTATTAAAACAATTCTAATTAATTCCAGTGACTTTGAAATTTGTTTTTTTTGTGCTACAATATCACATTCCTATTGGCTTGTTTACTATATAAAGCAGTGATTATTAAGTGTATTACATGTTATTGCCACACTGCCACAGAATATTAGTTAATAGAATTTAAAAATTAAAACCTATAATAAATCTTTTATACATTGACTAAAGTGATCTGGAGTACTTTTTAGGTTTTAAAAATTAAGGTATTCTTTTATATTAAGTGAAGTAAGACAGGCCCAAAGAAACATAGGTCCCATGGTTTCCCTTATTTGCAATAACTAGTATATGTCTAGGACAAGCAGAAAAGGTCAAAAGCTATGTACATATGACCATATAAAATGATGTTAAGTGAAATGAACTCCAAGACAGGGACACAAGTGATTTTTTTCTTTCTTGTTATTGTTTTTAATGTACTTATAATGTAGTATAAAAATTTATAGAGTTTTTTTAAAAATGCACTCTCCTTATCCTATGATTCTTAGAGCATTTTCCTGGCATTTCAACAAACCTCTTAAAACGGAATGAAATTAGAGTTTTGTGCTTCTATGTTTACAGAAAAAGCATATCAAACTGACAAACTTGATAATCTTAAAAAAAAGTAAAATAAAAACTCTTCTCATTTCAAAGGTTCAGTAAATAAAGGTTATTTACTATGCAGTCTTAGACTTCTTGTTAAGTTGTTTTTGAGATAGTAAATTAGAAAAACGTGGTCAGAGTTAGAGGCTACTCAATCACATTGAAGTTAGGACTTTTATTCTAGGAGCTCCTGTCCCCAAAATTGTATCTGATAATGTTCTAAAGTCTAAACATACTTATCTTATAAAAGACACTTAGTTCTTGGACATAAAATAACATAAATCTTCCCCCAACCAACAGGTTTACCTACCATCTTCAAATGTGTTTATATTCAGTGACCTATCTGCCATTCAATACCTCTGAGTTATAAAATATTGAAACTTTGACTTGGAATGTTTGCTTCCTATTTTCCTGTGCATAATCACAGGACAGGAGCATTAATAAAGGGGTTGGTGCATTGGCAATGTTAAAACCTGTTATTTAGGCAGAGACATGGCAACAGCACAAGTTCAATGTGTGTAAGGGTAGCATAATTTTAGCTTGTAGTGTGTCAGACGAGAAGACACATGTAAGTAAATGTAAGAGGTAAAACATCTCAAACTATTTGATAACATCTATACTCACAAACTAAAAACAGCAACCTAGCTCTAGAAGTATTACTGGTAAAACAATATGGCGCCTATAAACTTAGAACTGGCAAAATCCATTGAATCATATTTCAGAAAGAAAAAGAACTTGAAATGGTAATACTCCGAGGATGTCCATGTGGGTGGCCAAGCATATGTTGTTGCTAAGCAGAGGAAGTGGTACACCACAATTTCTTCATAAGTGCGAGGTCTTTATAAACTCATCCTCTCAGGGGCTGTTTTAAATAGAAAGAAAATGACACAGTCCCCAACCAGGCTTCCTAACTGTTTGAGGAGGGTTGCCACTTTCCCTAAACATTAGGTTACTGTGGGGGAATTTTCCAAAATAGTCAACAATTCCATTTTTTTTAAACTTAGCTCTTCCTCCCAACCTAAGACACTTGTAATACAGCAAGAACTATATTTAGTCTAGCAGGAGATGTAAGTTATTTTTACTGTGCTGACTCTTACCTGACAGTGGAAAACATATTCTGGTGTGGTTTTCTTAAACTTCATGTTCCAAACCAACGCCACTCCATCTGGTTCATGAGGAGCATCTTCATTGTTGTTGTAAGAAGCAACCATCAGCTCAGGGTACTAAATGGAAGAGGTCATGAGGATTCATTATCCAAAGATGACAACACAAGTAAACCATCCTTATACCTATATATACATACTGGACTACATACTTTGAATGGTGCTTTCTTTTTAAATTGTGACATAGTTAATATCCACCCAAGACCCCAAACTACTACAATCTGTTTATGGTCTCAAACACATTGTGTATTATTATACGATCACTGATATCTACCAAATTCTGAACTGCAAACACTGTATGACTTCTGTGGTGTATATGCATTTTGGGCCACTGTCTCCCCACCTCTCCATCCCCTCTCCTATATTAGTTTCCATTATAACTTTCTTAATTTTCTTCCTTGGCTACATTTTAAAGTCCTTATAAGTTCTCTCTTTTTTTGTTACATATAGCCCAAAGGATATACCCCAAGAGCTATTTTCTGTCCTTGTTTTTGCCTATGTTTACACATACTCTACAACTACTCCATCGTTTTAAAAAATCTTACTGTGATGATACTTTTTAAATCTTTCTCTAGGCCTCATATCTGTTCAAGTTCAGATCCAAATCCCTGTCTGCCTACTGGGGATTCCTCAGGAATGTTCAGAAATGTATCAGATGCAATGCAGAAAAATAAGTCTGTCACCTTCCATATGAAACATACTTCTCTTTCAACATTTCTACCTATCCTCTTTTTTCATACTTTATCTGCTTAGTCTCCTACAACCTTCCTTTCCTATCCTCAAACACTATTACCTGTCTCATGGGCTTGTCATGAGGCCAACAGGTACTTGACTCTGATCTTAACTATCATTGGAAGAACTCTTCTGTGCTTTTTATAATCACAAACTCATCTTACCTGGCTCAGCATAGACATCAAGTTGACCAGACAAACCTAACTAACCCCACTTCTCCTTCCTTGCCTGTTAGGATTCTATTTTGTGACCTTCCTGTTAAAGCATCTGTCCAGTTGTACTGATTTTCTCTGCCTATGTCTGTTACTAGATGGTAGGCTCTTTGAGTATAGGGGCTGGTGTTTATTGATCTCTGAATATATGGTCTACTAAATCTAGGGACTGACAAGAATAAAAATCTGAATTTGTTTTATTTTTTAGTAACTCTGGTCAGAAGAAATATTTAAACCTTTGTTGTCAGACAATACCAATAATAAAGGTTTAAATGAAACAAACAGAAGGTATACAATAACAAAGAGAGCTTTACAGTAATGTGCATGCAAGAAATACCAACTTGCCCTCTATTATCTCTTCTGCCTGTGATTAAATAAGCTAAGAATGAGATTCACAAGAGATGCTTATGAGAACCTATTTCATGAAACTTCCACTTCTACCTGGAATTTTCATGAGGCAGCATCAATAAACAGGTAATTGTATCTTTACACCAACGGATATCTATACTGTATAGGTATATATATATACACACACATATATATATATATATATATATATATATATATATATATATATATATAAAACAGTATGTATTAACTAAAGACAACCCATATAAATTGGAGCCCTGAACTTTCCCCCTCTTTTAAGCATAACTAGATCTAAGCCTTCTATGTGGTTTTATTCATTCTTTCAGTTGCAGAGAGTTGTAACTTGCTGGTTGGTACAGAGGAGGTGGAAGTGTGCAGCTATGCACATGTAGGTGGCCACCAGGGGAAGTAATCCTTCTTTATTAGAAAATCTTTCTCAGTAGACGAATCAAAGCTTATTAACCAAGGCCTTTGATTCAAAGCCCATTCAACGAAACTAACATCCAGATAAACACAGAAGTCTCCAGACTGTCCAAGGGAAGTTTAACTGTGTCACATGTGAAAAGGCAACTCTGTAAACACCAACCCCACTCCCACAGGGACGACAGAGCAGCCAGATGTGTCTGCAGTAATACCCCACAGCTTTACATCTGGGTCTCATCGATGGCACAACTGGTCTCTTTTCTTTTTTCCATTTAAGGATATTTTAACATATTTGGCTTTCAAATTCACTTAGAAAACAGGCTATGCTATAGTAAAATACTAGGGAAATGCCTTTGGCATAATTGGGATGACAAGACCTGGAGTTAGTGATTTAAATCTTTTGTCATGATTTCAAAAGTGTCTCATAGGTTGTCTTTTGGGCTGTTGGTTTATTTCAGCACAACCAGTTACATTTTACTGTCTTTTTTCCCCTAATAAATTCTTTTGACAATTATTTAAATATAAAGGGTTGAAATGATGATTTTGACCAATTGTGAAATTTGTGGCCATTTAATTATCCATAGTGGTAGGTTATCCAATATTAGTGTTAGAGGGGAATTTAATCCCTCTAACACAGCTATGCTCTGAGGAAGGAACCAACATGAGGTCAGTGCTTACTATATTCCAGACACTGAGATAGGTGAGACTTTATCTCATTTGCTCCTCACAACCTCTGTGAAGCAGTGTTTTACTCTGTTCTTCAGAAAAAGAAGTCAGGAATCCCCAGGTAAGCCACTTGTTTCCAGTTACATTGCTAATAAGTAATGAAGTAAGGAGCTCTCTAGAAACCTGCTGGGCTTCCAAGACCATGCCCTTACCTCTCAATTGTGGCATGTGTCAAGTGCTAGATACACATATGTAAAACACAACACACTCAGCTCTACAGGAGTCCAACCTCAAGATGTGTGTAGCAACTGTAAAGCAGAGATCAGAGAGAAATATAAACATGTCTCTGTAGACACACAGGAATTGGATACAGGTAGGAGTGGGGAAAAAAGTGCTAGCTGGGGTGAGATGTGGTGAAGAGGTCGCTGGAAGGAACTTGTGAGAAGAGAGGAGTATTGAATTAAGCCTTGCAAGGTGAGTTGGGGAACTGGGTATAAGAAGGAGGAGATTATGGAAAAGAACAGAAAAACAGCTTAGGAGATTCTTCCTGTATCACAGGATTCCCTTCTTGGGAATTACTCAATTCTTAAGTGTGTTAACTTCCAGAGATAAGTAATTAATTGTAGGGCTGATACTTGACCAAACTAATTTAATGGCTTCTCTAACTGACGTGTAAATTTTGAACTGAGATATACAACCCATGAGCTGGGGAATGCTTCAGGTGAATGACAACATCCTACTGGTCTTTTGGCCACTAATTTTTTTTTTTACTATTCCTAAGTTTAACTCTAATTTTTTGTCCATGGGTTCCCTAATTACCTTAGCACCTTAGCACCTGTCTAATGAATTCCCTTTTTACTTAACCTAGTCAGAAAGTTTTTTTTTGTTTTAGTCAAGAAAACGTACGAAGGACCATTGGCTGTGTGAGGAAGGATAAAAGAAAAGGATGTTGTAATGTATAATTACTGGGTCCTGAGTACAGGTGAGTGATGTCTGATTTTGCTGGACTGCAGAGGCGGCTGGGACAGTCACATTTCTTACAACTCCTAATATCCCTGCTACTATTTTACTGAAGCCTCATCTTGCTTTTCTTCTTTAATAACCTTGAGTTGCACCTGGAGCCAGGTGCAACTCAATTTATTCCATGTAAACCTGGTCTTTGGAACCTCATAACATGGTGGTGGGGATTCCAATATTTCTTATACCCTTTATAAATTGTATCTTTCAGAATTGCTAACCTCCTTCTCACAGTGTATATGGGCAGATCTCTCTCTCTCTCTCTCTCTCTCTCTCTCTCTCTCTCTCTCTCTCTCTCTCTCTCTCACACACACACACACACAGAGGTAAAATAAATGTCATATCTTCATGATGCCATTTTTGCCCTTCCCAATGTCACTTTCTGCAACACAAACATCCAAGATGCTGTGCTGAAACAAATCCATGGGCAATGGGTCCAATCACACACTTAAGTTAGGCAAGACTAGCCCCCTGATGCTAGCCCAGTGGCCTCTCAGGGAGTGTGGACCCAGGAAGTCACTAATAGCTTTTGGTTGAGATGTGTGTCAGTTATATTTCCTGTGTAATTTCCAGACCTGTAGTGAACATGCCGAACTAAGTGTTTCCTCAATCTTGGCTCTGATTTCTTTGCATACACGTAAGTATGTTCACAGACCACCCACATAGTAGTGGAAAAAGGTTAGGAAAACCCTGTTTGTCTTTCTGTTGGTCATGCTCTTATGCTTTGCTGAGTGGGTGTAAAAGGGGATTCAGGAGGAGAGAACTTCCACCCATTTGGTGACTGATGACAGTCCAGTTGTGGGGAATCATTTGGCTCTTCAGTTCTCCACAGATTAGGTTGGATTCTTATCACCCATTTAATGTTCTGCCTAGATAAATCTCTTCTTCAGCTATTTGCTTAAATCCCAGTGTTCATAGAAGTCCTACTCTCAAAAGAACTGTTAAGAGTACTTGTGTCTGCCTCACAGCATCTGCAAGCTGTCTTCTTACAGATTTAGAAGCCATTTGTGGGAGAGGAGGCAGTGGTTAAGAACAAATGCCTTAGAAGGCTGACAGGCTTGACTTGGACTCCACTACATCCAACTGAAGCCATTTGTAGCAAGTTACTTAGTTTCTCTGCAGCCCCAGTTTCTTCAACTATGCCATGAAAATATTAATAGTAGTTGCCTCATATGATTTTATGAGGATACAATAGGATAAAGCTTTCAGAGAAATTGGCACAGTGTTTGATGTTTAAGATACACAAATTATAACAAATTACAAACATGGATACCAGACCTTCTGTATTCAAATTCTGACATTAACCCAACTGATCCATGTGCCTTTGTACATGTTGCTTAACTGCTCAGTGCTGGGCATCATGCATGGTATGTTGTCAGCTGGCTAACTTGCTTACTTATCAAGTAAACTTTTGGTAAATTTGCCTGCTTTCACTGCCGATGCCACCCTGGGAGTTTAGACTTTTGTTCTATTGGCCAGGGAAATTTAGAAAATGGAGTAATTAGATTTGTGTTTTCAGAAGATTGGTTAGATGGCTTGAGAGAAAACTCTAAATGGATACGCATTAAGGTCCAGATAGTTAGGAAGTTAAAAATTGCACCTCTTTATAAGATGATTAATATACGTGCAAAGTGGAGAGTCTTAATAACAGCCTGGGTTCTAGAAAATGGTTCAGGAAGTTATGCTTTAGACTTCTGGGTACACTGTGATGCCTTTAACATAGATATAATTATAATAGGAAAGAAAGGATATGGGAAATAGGATATGTGTGTTATGTAGGAATAAGGAATGTAAGATCAGTTTGAAATTCTGTATGACATCTGTGTGGCTTTGTCTGGTATACAAAGTTGAATCCAGGAGTGAGATGGAGAGAGAAATAAAGCAGGTAGTGTAGGTTGTAGTTGAAGCTACAGACAGGGAAGTGATCTTTCCCAGAAAGTGTATTGAGACAAAGGGTCAATGCTGAGGGCATGATCAAGGAATTCTTGAAATGTCAGAGGACTAGCAGAAAGTAGAATAGACCAAAGAGAATTCAATGGAAGGAGGGTGTTTCTAAAAGAATAATAAAGTCAATTCAGCCAATTTGCACAGAGGTCAAAGCAGATGAAGGCTTCAAAATATCCACAGGATAGGAACAGTAGAAATCAGTGGTGACTCTAATTAGAGTTTTATAGACAGAATGGTTTAATTTCTTGCATGGTATCTAGCACATAGTAGGGACTCAATGAACACAAATAACTTAGTGTAGAATTAAAACAAAGCCTTATAAAACAAGAAAGAAAATCAGGAGGCATAGAGAAGAGAATTGTTAGTAAGTATATACGATGTGGATAAATAAATCTCTATTTATTTGTGTATTTTTGTTTGTTAAATTTCATACTTTTTTGTGCTAGTCCTCAGGGCTTGGGTGCTCAAGCCAGTATTCTACCACTTGAGCTATAGCTTCACTTCTGGCTCTACAGTCTGGCATTACAAGTCTCGCAGACTTTCCTGTCCTAACTGGTTTAGAAAACTGAGATCCTCAGATTTCAGTCCCTTATGTAGCTAGGATTATAGGCATGAGCCACTGGTACCTGGATCTATTCAGCCAAATGCATGAACTTATACTCTGCCAATAATAATTCTTACCTGGAGAGACCAGTCCATACAAGTGACTACTCGATGCTTGGACCAATGCTCATCATAGAACTGACGATTGAAAGAAAGATTGGCTCCAGCTTGAACATCCCTAGGAAGGTTTAAACAGCAGTGATAAATATGGTGCTTCAGAATGAGGCTTTCTCTCTATGTTGCTTATACTAAATCAGTGAAGTGGCAAAAGTATGGCACATAATACTCTCAGAGGCCAACATGTCAATCTGGACAGCAAACTCTGATCACAAATAAATGAAGTAAAGATGGTCTCCTTTACGAACAGCTCTCTCTGTAGACACAGAAAAGTTTTCCACATGTTATTCTAAGCCTGGTATGATATGTCATATTTGTTTCAGGTTCCCATGTTGGCTGATCCTGAAGCATACTCCTTCCCCTAATAGGTTTTAGTCTGAAGCACCATTTATTAAATTTCCCTGCTATCAAGGGAGCATAGAAAAAGGCAATTCTTAGTAATCAATGCTACTTCATATCTCATTAGAAGTGATATACATGTTTCTTTCTCCGTGTAAATTCTAGTAGGCTTCCTTAGCTGCCTCCTTGCCCAGCAGTGGTAGTGATCATTAGTTCTCTCTCTCTTTTTCTGTTTTATACTTTCCCTTCCTTCCTTTCTTCCTTTCCCTTCCTTCCTTCCTTCTTTTCTTCCTTCCTTCATTTCTTCCTTCCTTCCTTCCTTCTTTCCTGTCTTTGTGCTGGTAGTAGGGCTTGAATTCAGGGCCTAGGTGCTGTCCTTTAGCTTTTTTTCTTTTGCACAAGGCTGGTGCTCTACCACTTAAACCACAGCTCTACTTCCAATAGTGATAATTTATTCAATGAGACAGCCTGGTGAAGAATGAGAGATTCACCAGAAGTGTTTCAGACACTTAACCTTTCTGTCATGGTCCTAAACAGCATTTAGGTCTAAGAGGATTACACTTTGGCTAGTGTTTACTAGGTTAATGTTCAAGTGATGCCAACACCATCTTTGAAGAACTCTGGACTGCTCAGACAGTAGCTCCAAGGGACTGAGGACTTAACGTGAGTAAGGCTTGCTCTGTGCCAGCGGGTTTGGATCTGCAAAAAATGCTGCCTAAGTTGCTTGAGTTTCAGTTCCGGAATTCCTCCATGTTCACTTTTCTCTTAGTTTGCTGTTTTCCCCACATCACTCATCTTGTGGAGCTCCTTTCCTCACTGGATAACCGAGCTCTAGACTGTTTATTTGGGCCCAAATCAGCTGACCTATTATGGTCTCTCCACCAACCCCAACTCTATCAGTTCCACCATTTCAAATTTAGGTAGAGACACAGACACTCAGAAAATAACAGGACAAACAAAATCAACTGAGCCATAAGCAGTGGCTTTTTAAAAGAAAGCAAACCCCACAGGACAAGTTGTTCAATTTATATTCAAAGTATTCTAAAGTTGCTGACAACTCTTGAGAACATTTTTAGAGCTCCACTTTGGAACTGTTTCCAGAGCGTCTGTTAATTCCTTTGGGTGTCCTCAATAATGATACCACACTGTCCTTTAAGAATGCCTTTGAATTTTAGAAAGGGTGAAAAATTAGGTCTGATGAAAAGGACAAGCTCTTGGATGAAAGTAGTTTGTAGCTAAAACCTAGCTATATCATTTCTTATAAGGCTTGTAAAGTAGCTCCTGTTACCCTACAATGACATGTTGTCTTGCTTTCTTATTTATTTATTTTGTTTCTAATATCCTTTAATCATACCTGTTTCCCAAAATGTATGTGTAAATATACATATAAATGCATATATATGCATAATCTTTTTGCATAATCTCATAGGCTGAAAAAAGAGCAGTTTCCAGATTCTCATCTGTCATGCCAGCTAAGTTATCCTATGTTTCATGTTTAGTTTCTTTAGCTTTCTGTTTGCTGAGCCATTAAAAATGGATCTAGAGAATGAAATACAAATTCCCTATAAAAATTTTTTCCCCGAAGGACAGTGAATGATACACTTCCCATCTCTTTCACCTGGACCGGGCTCTAGGTCTTAAATTCCAAAGCATTTCATAGACAAACATGATAATTACAGAGAAATTTCAGGTCAGAAGTTATAACCAAAGCTCATTGTCAAAGCTGCTAGACAAAATCAATCCTAGAATTTCATCCTCCTCAGATTTGCTAGATTTGGGATTTGACCAATTAATACATAAAAATATATTCAGAATCAACAGATGGAGCATTGCATACAAAAGAGGCTAAGGCTAGAGGATTGCTTTAGCCCAGGGATTTAGGACCAGCCTGAGCAACATGTGAGTCTTTGTATCTTAAAAAACAAGAATAAAGACATTATACAAATGACAACTTGTCATTATATATATATGTCCCTTATATATAGTCCCTTATATCTATATGCCTATATAGATATTTTAATGAATGCAAGCGAGACTAACCCATCCTTTTCCTCTAGTTCTCGACCACTGTAGTCGAAAAAGATATCGGAGTCTTCAGCCAAAGCTCTTTCAATTACCCGAATTGTTCCATCAAAAAAGATGAGGAATTCCTCTGAATGAAGGATCTGCTGTTTTTCTTCCTCAGTCAGCTCTCTTGGTGGAGCTTTTATTATAAAAGAAATTGTTAGGAAAGAAAAGAGGGACAATTAAAACTTTTCCAGAGAAACCAAAGTCTAAGGACAACTTATGAAGAGTAATAGGACACAATGAAGCAAACCATTATTAATATGGATTCTAAATTGTTCCAAAACCTCTTTAGTATTCCTCCATATCTTAACTGGAATAATTCTTATTATAAAGAATAGGAAGTGATTACAAATAAAAAATAAATGATCATGTCTTTAGCAATCAGTTCTGAATGTTTCTTTCTTTAGAAGTGAACTTGAAAAACAGCTCAAATAGGCATAATAGGTAAATTTACATAATTGTATATTACATACTATTATAAGGGTATATATTAAACAATCAGTAATTACCTATAATAATGTCCAAGTAGTGCCTTTTTCCTTTTTTACTAAATAAACTTATTTTACTTTGGATGGATAGTTGGAAAGGCTGATATTTGTTATAAAGTTTCATTAAAGCTGAACTATATTTTTACAAATATGTTCTTGCCCAGCTATAGTTCGCCTTTAAATAAACACATGGAACAAACAAATGCTTCTATAAGGTACTCCACAATTTCTTTTATGCATTATTTATAGTATAATTAATATTAACACACTGAATCCTAACATACAAAATAAGACAGAGGGATGAACTAATCAGCAGTGTGTCATAGAATCTGAAATTGAGTTTTACTTTATCATGAGTCAGTTATAGAAACCATTCCTTCAATAGTAGTTTTGCATAACATTATAGAGAAGGGATTAGAAACTATCCCAAACTGGAAAACCTCCAGGACAGAATCTACTAACTGAACCTCTGGGGACCTCCAAAAACCCTAGTTCAATTCTTGTGCAGAGACACCTCCATGAACATTGGATTGCTAACCTTTAGTAGCATAGCTCAACTTGTAGGAGGAAGGCCATCCACAAACACAGTTGTGATGCCTGAGTTTCCTAAAAAGTTCAAACTTCCATGACCATCTTTATTACCAAGACAAGTTTCTACATGGTGATGTGGTCAGAAGAATCTTTTGAGGTACAATTACATTCAACAAAATATTTTATGAACATATTACTTGGTTTAATTAATGCATATCAAAGTCACTGGGTGTCTCAAACTTAGATGATTTAAAACATCCCTCCCTTGTTGGCTTCTCCTTTCCTGCCAGAAACTATGATCCAGGGAGGCTGGAGGGCTGAAAAATCTGTTTGTTTAACAAAGTAGAATAATTTTCATGTAGTTGGTTCACACTGTAAGCAATGTTGTCTTTGTACTATTATGGCACATCATCACCTATACCAGCTACACCAGAAGGTTTCCAAACATGGTACAACCTAGAATTCCTAAAGGAAGTGAGAAACATTTCCTTATCTAAGGCTCCAGAGCCCTAAAATTCCCACTGCACACTGGAATTTTCCCAAGTCTCCCTCCATTTCTTCTGTGTTGTGTTGCCCAGATACCAGTTAGAGAAATGGCAAAGCTGGAGATGTGCAGACTCTGTCTAGGAATTGAGAGAACAGGTGAAGAAAATGGAAAAACCAAGCTAGAATTACCCTGTCATTTTTTAACTCTGCTTTTTTCAGCAGTTAACCCCCTCTGAGAAGTTTTATCTCTAAAATAGGAATAGTGATACCTAAACTTTAAAGAGTGGTTTGAGCACGAAAGAATGCTTGACACATAGCTACTCTTTCAATAATTAGCAAATAAGTAGTAATTTTAAAACTCCAATGTAACATTTAAACTGGCTCATTCAATACCATAAACTATTATATAAACTAGGGAAAAGGCAAAGATCTATAAGATGCTAGCTCCACTTTACTCTGGCTAATATTTTTACATAAATAAACTTCAGTAAACAAGGAGTAGGGACCAAACAATGTCGTATTTTAAAAAGACTCACACAGCCATGGCCACCATTAATGGATGATTTGAGACACACTTGAAATTAAGCAAAGAAGTAGGAACTTTTTCTCTTTATTCCTTTTCTGTGTTCTAAAAAACTCTGTGTAGTCTCTGTTTGTATTCGAGCCACTTGTAATGCACCTGTATCTTTTCTTAGAGGTCCATTACCTTGAATAAAAAAATAATATCTGTGTAATTTTCTGTAATTTTTTCTTCCCTGTAGTGTATTGTCACTTTGATCTCAGCTTTCAATACACCTAGCTCTTCTCCAGAGGAACATAAATGGCTGATCAAAGTGTACTTGCAGGGGCCAAGTTCAGGTGGGCAAAGCAGTGGCCTCTTTAGATACTGTGCTTGACAATGCAATATTTGGCCTGAAATTAAATGGCTACTGGAGCAAAACAAAGGCTATAGTTTGCATTAAACTTTGATGTCTAAGAGGGATCAAACGACCTGATTTGTTTGCACAAAATAATAATGCACATGAACAGATAATTACTTCTTAAAGTCATAAACAATATTCAACTTGCAAATTAAGTAGGGTCATAGTTATTTTGATTTAAAAAAAACTACTTTTTCTTAAAGATCTTTAAATTGATAAGCATGGTTATGATATTATGAAAATAAAGTAGGCAGAAACTGCAAACAAAAGAGTGTATTCAGAAATAAAGTTCCCTTGGATGTTAAAAATATTGATAAATGGAATCATCAAAACTTAAAATATGATACAAACAAATAGGGATAGAATTCTTTGGCTCTAGGATGAGCCCCAAGCTCTTTTTTCAATATTTCTGTAGTTTTCTCTATACCCTAAAAGTAATAAATTATATTTTCAAGGAGTTCATAGTAGAAAAAGGTATGAATTTATTTACTAGCAAAAGGTAATCAGAATACAATAGGGATAATGGGTAATATTTTCCTTAGAAGTAAAGCAGAAAATGTTTTTTTCTTTATTTGCTTTATTTGCTTATTTATTTTTTTCTTTATTTACTGGTTTTCATGACATATAGGATGATTCCTTCAGAAGCCAACAGTTACTAAACTTCCATACATTTGAAGTACACTTTAAAAAAGATCTACAAAGAGTAGAATATAGGGATATGACTTACATATAACCCAGAATAATGATATAATTCCCTTATTTGCAATAATTAGTATATGTCTAGGATAATCTTATCAAATGAGCAGAAAAGCTCAAAAGCTATGTACATATGACCAGATAAGATGATTCTAAGTGAAATGAATCCCTGAGACTTTTGATCTCTAATTAATCACTCAAAAGCCAGGTGTTGAAGTGTGGCTCAAGTGATAGTATACCAGGTTTGAGAAAAAAAAAAGGACAAACAAATGAGCAAAGGACAATACCTAGGCCCTGAGTTCACGCCCCAGTATGGTCACTCACATACATACACAAAACTACCTACATATTTTTACTGTTCCATGCACTTTGATGCCACATGGGTAAAAATGTTAAAAGCTAGTGAGCACTCATTTACTTTTTTTTTTTCCTGCAACTTTCTCCCTTACTACTTTTTTCTTCATTGCCCGCCCTGCCCCCCCCAAAGCTAGATTTCTCAAAAATGTGTCTGAAACTGACTGTTAAGTTTTAGCCCAGAGCATATTTTTATGGTAGAATAAAAAAACAATCCCTGCAACAGAGGATTCGTAACGAAGTGCTGACACTGCCGTGTACTGTGGAGCCTGTGAATGGCGCCGCCGTTACATCTGCTAGAGATTCCTTTAAAACTGCAAGATACTGTCTCACGTTAAAAAATAAAAAATAAAAACCCAGCCAGATAGTTTGATGCCAACATAAACATGCTTTTAACCCATTATGTGCTAATTTTCAGAAAAGCCATTAATGGAGAAGAAGGCACACGAGTGCAGCAGTAACAGGAAACGTTCTTTCAAACGGCTTGACTTTTAATGTGACTTTAATCAATTCCATGTAGCATGAGGAACAGTTAAAAAAAAAAAGGCAGGGTGTTTTGATGCTTGGAATTTAAGAAGGAGGTTTCTTTGCTCCTCCAGGAGAGATGTTTTGGAGATTGGGTTTGAGGGGTTTGAGGGGTGGTGTTGATAGGGAACCTAAGCCAAGAGTCAGAAAAACCAGCTTCTCATCACCCTGTATGACTTAAACACAGTTAGCAAAACAAAAAGTATTTTAACTGTTTTTCCCCCTTTCTGTGCCTGTGATAATGACTGATTAGGTTTGTGTGTGTGTGTGTGTGTGTGTGTGTGTGTGTGTGTGTGTGTGTGTGTGTGTGTGTGTGTGTGTGTGTGTACTAGGGCTTGAATTCAAGGCCTTATGCTCTTGCTTTGCTTTCTTCATGGCTGGTGCTCTACTACTTGAGCCACATCTCCATTTCTGGCTTTTTGCTGGTTAATTAGAGATAAGATTCTCTCAGATTTGTCTTCTTAGTCTGGCTTTGAACCAGATCTCAGCTTCCTGAGTAGCCAGGATTATAGGTGTGAGTCACCAACAGCTTACCAAGTTAAAAAAGGCATTTTCTGTATTTGATGTTGGTATAATTTGTGGAGGGGAAGGGAAAAAACAAATTGTTTAAATAGGGGTACAGGTGGACCCATTGCAACAATGAGATGTACAAGATGTTATGTTGAAAAATAAACTTTACAACTTTAGCAGGGGGGGAGGGGACGGTGGGCAGCGGGGGTGGGGGGTGGTGGGAAGGGGGGGGGTGGGAAGGGGGGTGGTGGGAAGAGGGCGATGGGAAGTGATGGGAAGGGGAAACAAAGGAGGAGGCAACAATTCTTGATAAGAAATGTACTCATTACCTTGCCCATGTAATTGTAACCCCTCTGTACGGTATTTTCACAATAAAAAAAAAAAGAAGTGTTTTTAGGAGAAATTTAAATATGAAATATCTCCCAACAAATACAAAACAACCCTGGTACCTCTGTCGATGTCATCGCTAAGATTCTGAATCTCCTTTCTGCCCTCATTCATCCTCTAGAACTTGACCACACTCCCACCTCCTCATTGCCTGAGACCAGGCACAAGAACAGGAATTGGACTTAATGACAGTTCTGGAAGGAGTTGGAAAGCATTTGCCTGCATCTGTTTCATTGTGGCCCAGGCAATTGGGCTCCTGTTCCAAAGTTATGACTATGGAAAAGTTGAGCACAGAGACTAAGGCACACCAGATAGGACCTAGTCACAGACCAGGGCACTGGAAGACAAGACCGCTAATGATAACTTGGAAAACTTATACAGCACTTACTTGATGCCAAGTTGTTTCTTATTGGCTCCTTTTGATCTTACTAAGATCCTTAAATGGTAGACATCATCTCTGCTTGGCAAATGGGGAAACTGAGGCCAAGAAGATGCAAATTAACTAAGTCAGCAGTGATCAGCTAATAAAATGGCAGAGTAATGATTTAGTTCCAGGTAGGCCCCAGGGTTAGTGTATTTAACAAAGCCTTGCAATGGCTTTTAGATAACTGATTGCATGAAACTGATTAAAACAAAACTAAGCCCACATACTTCAAATGACTTACAACGTCAAATGATTCTTAACATGAGGCAAATTTAATAATTAACAATTGTCTAATTTAGTTGCATATTAATGGATAGGATCATGAATGGGTATGATCTGCAGTAGGTTCAAACTACACAATGCTTCCTTTTTCCTGAAAGTAAAAAGAGACTGAAGTACGTGGGATCAATATGCAAACTCCTGTAAAAATCCTCAGTGCCAACTATGTGCCATGCCTTGTGTCAGAGCTACAGTTTATCTTTAAAACTAAGAAATTCAATGGGCTTCTAATCAGGGTTAGACCAATTAGAGTTAGACTAGAAACTCAGTTGGAAATATGGATGAACATTTTAATCTACTCTCAGTTCTCAGGTTTCCCTCTCCAGTTGTTCATAACAATGATATTCAAAATCTCCTAATTGAACAGGTTGAGAATCTCACTGTAGTAAAAATAAATAAATAATAGATTTGTGAGGAAATGTCATAGAGATGCCTTTGGCTTTGAATTCAACCATAAATGTTGATTCATCACTTGATTATGTATTCTTGGGTACATTTTCAAACCCTCTCTTCCATTTTTTAAAAATGATTTTCTTGTAAAGATGCTGTAGAAAGAGGTTACAGTTGCATCAGGAAGGTAATGAGTACATTTCTTGTTGGGCATTGTTACCCCCTCTTTTGTTTTTCTTGCACTATCCTTTCTCTCCCCTAATTCCCCCACCCGAGATATGGACACAAGAGCTATTTCTTTTTTCTGTTATTTTTAATGTTTTAATGTATGTAATTTTTCCCCCTATGGTATATCCCTGTTGTCACTGTATTTGATTTTGGTACCTTGCATCTTGTATATACATTTATCTAATTTTGGGGAGGGGAAAGGAATAGAAATGAATCTTCCAAATTTTTTTACCTATGGAATAGTAAAAATAATGGTATATGTTTCAAAAGAATGAAGAGTAGACTTCTTGGGGAAGAGCCAATATATTGTAAACACTTAACATTAGTTACAGTTATCTCTGGACTATGAAAGAGGTTATTTCTCCTCAGGAACAGAGTGGAGGGAAACCTTCAACAGCACAGTTAGTACTAATGATTACTGCTGATACTTACATGTAGAACATATGGAAAAATCAGAATTCACCATTAAAGTAATTATTAATTTTTTTCTTTATATGATCATTGATCATTGGGCATATGTAGTGAAGTGAATGATACAATGATATAACTGATATTATCTTTTCTTTTTCTGTTTTGCCAGTTCTGGGGCTTGAACTCAGCAACTGAGCACTGTCCCTGAGCCTCTTTGTGTTCAAGGCTAGCACTCTTCCACTTGAGCCACATTGCTAGCTTTCAGCTTTTTCTGAATAGTTTATTGGAAGCAAGAGTCTCACAGACTTTTCTGCCTGGGCTGGCTTTTAACTGTGATCCTCAGATCTCAGCCTCTTGAGTAGCTAGGATTACAAGCATGATCCACCAGTACCCAGCTGAAATTACCTTTGTTTATCACTAGTAATACTTTCACTGTAACTGCATGCATTTTCATTCTATTTGCTTCTGTCAGGCAAGAAATAAATGACTCTTGCTTTGGAGATAGTAGTTTAAATTGTTAACTGTGATACATTGAATAATCATAGAAAACCTTACATATGGGGATAAAAATTTAATTTTTATTGATCTCTAGCATTCCTTATGTTGGTAAAAGAAAACCAAACATCAATATAGTTATTCCATACATCTCCCACATCATACCTTCCTTCACCTCCTGCTTTTTGTCTTGATTTTCTGGTTCTGATTCATGGCCAACTTTGGATTCCACCATTTCCTCATCTTCCTCATCCTCTAGAAAAAAGAAAAAGAAAACTTCAATATTTTCTTTCTTCAAAGTCTTCAGTTGCTAGTGGGAGGGAGGGGTAAAGGGTAAAGATCCAATCATTTAGGGCAAGTCAATCAGTCCACAAAGAATGCCCAAGACAAATGTTCATGAATATATGAATAAATCATCTCCAAAATGAACTTCTTTGAAAGTCTCCCCAAGCTGGTGAGGAAACCACCCAAAGTGTGCACCTGCTACATTCCTTTCCAGATCCCCATCACATGGGACATCTTGGAACTGCCTCCCTGACCTCTGAAGCGTCTTCAGAGATGGGCCAGCAACAGATCTTAAAATGTTTCCACCTGGGAAACTTTCTCCATAGGGGACACCTGCTGTGCAGATGATTCATTTCCAATTTACTTCTCACCAAATTAGTTTGGTTTTGACCTACAGGAAAGGGTTAACTATAGGTGTGACCCCAGGTCAAATGCCATTGGCAATAAGCAACCAGGGAGAGACCCCCAAAGTTAATGCTATTGGTCTGAGCAAAAACAAGCAGCCCACCCCAAATGGCATTTACACATTCAGAATAGTTCATGCATTAATGTGAATTTAATGAGCACTAACAAAAATGAGTCCAGTCAACCAGGGCCAGATGTTACAGTGACCTTCCTGCCCTCTGTATGTGTGCTCATTCTGTCTTTTCCCTTCACCTGTCTTTCTCTCATTACAGAAAGCTTGAAATCATTGGACACAATGTAGGACATTTAGGAGACACTCAAGGTGTCATAAAAATCTAACTCATAGGAAATAAAACTTGTTTTCACAACTTCTGAATATAGTATTACAATTACAGTAGGCAATTCTTCTAAACAGAAGAAATGACTTCACATCCTCCCCCCTCCCTCTCCCCCACCTCATACCCACTGTCATTTCTTCAATAGATATTCACAGACTTTTATTATAAGATCTCAGCCTCCATGGACAACTCCATTCCCAACAAATGCTAACACGGATTTGTTCAAGATGTCAGTACTAACCACTTAAAGCAGACACTATGAATATATCCTTAAATAGCCAAGTAAATATGTACAGTATGAAAAGCAACCTCAAACATTCTGATAATAGAATTGTAGATAATAGAATTGTAGAAGAAATACCAATTTTATATATGAATATATAATTCAGAACATTGCCATTCAGCTACTAAAAATTCAACATAAATTTTCATTGAAAGAGTTCTCTTTCTATCTATGTATATAGATTGTGGAGTCTACTTCATTACTTTATAATCAGACTACAAATGTCATAAAATTTGAAACCCTTTTAAGAATATATATTATTATTATTATTAACATACCTGTGAGGACACATTTATCATATTAAAAGTCATAGTAAAAATTTCGAAGGAACACTTAGTTATTCAGAGTTTTAGACAAACTTTTAAATCACCATTATAAATGTCACATCTAAGTCTATCTCCTTATGTCAAGGTATTACTACTATCTATTCACAAAAGCCCCACTGGGAAAGTCTTAAATAAAGAAATCCTCATTTATTGATGTGTTGTCCAGCTCCAAGGACCTATGACAAAGGGCAGTAAAGGACTAGCCAGAAGGGAGTTTCCTCTTTTGGTGAATCTTGGATGGAAAAGCAGTTTTCATAAGGTCCCTTATCTGCTAGTTCATGTTCTGCTAAACCTTCTAGAGACATTCCTTCAAATCTGTTGAATTTGACAACTATTTCCTGACATTAAGTGCAGGGTAAATGCCATAAATACAAAAATGGTAAAACCAGTGTTATGGGTTGAATTGTGTCTCCCCAAATTCATATGTAAAGCCCTAAACTTCAACAGCTTAGAAAAAACAGGGTCATTGAAGATGTATAGGGTGGGTGCCTACTCTAATAGGATTGGTATCTTTTTACCATGAACAGGGAACACCGTGTGAAGATGGAGGCCAAGATATGGAGGAGTAGGGGGAGAATGGAGTAGGATAGATACTTCTACAAGCCAACAGTAGCAAAGACTGTCAGCAAACCACCAGAAGCTAGGGGACAGCAAAGAACAGATTCTTCCTTGCAGCTTTCACAAGCAACTAAGGCCTGTGCCCATCTTGGTCTCAGACATTCAGACTCCAGCACTGTGAGGCATTAGATTTCTGTTTAAACCACCAGTCTGTGGTTCGTGATTGTAGAAGCTCAAGGAAATTATTAAAACAAGTCACATGCCTTACCTTGAGTGTTTTATTTGTATAATCAAATTTATTTATCAGAATTTAGTAATAGCCCCATTTTATACATAAAGAGAAAAGGCAATTTGTGTTGAAAATTTCAACTGTATAACCTTTGAAGTTCTGTCTATTTTAAGGGTTTTTTTGAACAGTACTTGAGTTTGACTCAGGTGAGCACTCTATCACTGCAGCCACATCCCACCACTCCTTTTTTCCTTTAGTTTTCAGGGAGGGACTTACACTTTTCCCCAGAACCCGCTCAGACAATGATCCTCCTACCTCTGCCTGCCATGTAGCTGGTTTTGTTATGTGAGGTAGGTTTTACTATGTGACTCTGGTTTTGTAATTTTTAACTACTATGTGAAATGTCTCCCTGAGCACAGCATGACATGAATCAGAAAAGCTTTAGAGAAAAGGAGTATCAGACTCTTTGAGATGGATATCCCACGGCCTGTACAAGAATCATCCATTTTCATGAAGGAAGCAAATAGAAGTTTCAATTGAGACGTTAGGTTGAAAATACTTGAGAGTCCTCCACAGTAGAACAATGTATTTGCCACTATATGTATATATATATATATATATATATATATATATATATATATATATATATGTGTGTGTGTGTGTGTGTGTGTATATATACATATATACATATATATCATATAGTATATTTATGTAGTCTTAAGGAAAGAGACACATATGTGCATAGATTACATCAAAATTCTGTAATCATTTTCATTCTAAGCTCCACTTGAACTGAAGTTTGACTAATAATGCTTACTATGAAGCATTGATTTCTCTGGCCAGAAGGATTTGAAACTGGTGTGGAAGCAATGATTCATGGGAAGTAACTGAGCACCCTGCTGGCTTCTACTTTCTAGAAAGAAACTTTCTGAGCCCCTATGTCCCTACATGGTAAACTGGGATAAAAAAAAATCCTTCCTCAAAAATGCAATGCAGATATTAAAACAATCAAATAAAATAATTGGTGTAAAATTGATTTTTTTAAACCACAAAGTTAATTGGATGTATTTATACAGAAATCATTAGCCAAAATGTTGTCTTATTTTGTTAGCACATAAGGGCTGAGCACTTGCCATGTGCCAGGGGCTGAACAGGTGAAAAGGGACAGACAGATAAAAAAATTCTTTGTGTTCACTGAGATTCCAACCAAATAGGGGAGGAAAACCACACACACACACACACACACACACACACACACACACACACACACACAAGCAAAATGTATACAGTGTCAGATGAGTTCTATGAGGGATTGTAAAGCAGGAAAATGGGTTGGGGCACTCTGGTCAAAAGAAGGAAAACCTTAATTAAAAACAGCAGCAAAGGCCATGCTGAGGTGACATTTGAGCAAAAACTAGAAATCCAGGGTATGAGTTATGTGAAGATTTGGGGGAAGTAAGACCAATAATAATCAGATCTTTCTTCTGAGTGTGGGCCCAAGGAATTGGAGTCTAAATTTCTTTCTTACCAGTTCTGTTGACCATGGAGAGCTATAATGCTCTCTGTAGTGCCATCTAGTTTGTACATTTGCTGCTTCTAGTTCTCAAAACTAGAGCTGACTTTACTAAATGACTTTTTAGTCATCTTCATATAGCATCAAGCTCTTATCTTCACAGATACAAACATTTTTATTTTAAACATTAATTCTTAGAAGAATAAAAACAAAAACCCATCATGACAGAATGTCACTAAGAGCTTATTGGAAAAATCTTATTCCATGAAGAGCTTGGCTATGAAAGAGGCTAGAACCCCTCTGTACAGTGTTTTCACAATAAAATACTTATAAAAAAGGGTCTAGGTTTGTGTGCTAATTTATGCATAGAATTATACAAGAAAATAAAGTTACGTAATATAAAAAGGTCTAGGTTTGGATATATTAGTTTATGCATAGAAGTACACAGGAAAATAGAAAATTATTGAATATATTAAATGGAGAAATCCTTCCCCCAGAGATTATGCTTTCACTCTGTTTTTTGTTCTCCAAAAGAACAAAAATAACTATTGTGTTTATCATATGTGAAACGTTCCATAAGTTACTGTAAATAACAAAAAAAATCTTTTAAAATACCTGCCTTTTTAAAGTATCTGGAAATCTGTTGTAGGAATTCATTTTTAATGGCCAGAGAATTCTTTATCAGCCCTTTAAAGACATAAAGTATGCATTTTGGTGGATTCGTTAAGGAAATAAAGCACAAGAGACTGGTTTGTTTCTCTGCATACTGATATGTTTGCCTTGCTCAGCAAAGAGAGTATATTTTTTTTAAGACTCTGGTTTCCTTTCTGGGGCAATTGGAATTACTTCTGTTGAAACCATTTTCAAAACAGTTAAATAACTTTAGAGAAAAGGATTTATGTAGACCCTCTACAGACTACTGATATATGACTTCTGCCACTAGTTCATACCCAGTACATTTCCTCTGTGTTCAGAGAGGAAAACAACTTACCACCCATGTATGGTTTCCTGTAGCGAAATCCACACAAGAAATTAAACCAGTGGCACAAGTTAATTACATGTCAGTCTAAGGAGCTAATTTCAAACAATGGCATCTTTTAGACATTGTTTTATTTAGCACCCGTGTTCTGCTGATTCCCATTGCCACATTTATACTCCCTAGTTGGAAAAATCTTTGGTAACCACTGTTCTCCTTTCCTTAAGACTTTCTAAAGATCCAAATTAAAGAATTGCATATAACATCCTTCACCTGAAGACTGCCCCCTCCAGTCTGAGTCCTGCTAGTGTTAGTTTCCTTTACTAGTTTGTGATTCAGAAA